CATCGTTGATCTCAAGATCACGAAACTGTAATAATTCTGTAACTGAAAATTAATAGTAATGGAGTATTTGTATTGCTTTTATTGAGTACATGTTAGTACATTATCATTCTTTCATAACAAGAAATTGATTTCTTCCATTTGAAATTATATTGTTGAGTTGATTAAATTTTATATTTGTTCATAGAAAGGGGGCTCGTTATTTTACTTCCTCAATATACGTGCTCAGAGATCAGTATCACATTTTATATCCATCCACACTGGATAAATTACACCACGGGAAGTCATTCCCTGGCAACGAACCGTAGTGATGGGGTTGGTGCAACGTTTCGAACACCACCAATTTACCATAGATAGATAGATATTGGTAGGTATTGGTAGGTATATGGGTATGACGACGAGAGCATTTGGAGAAATTAGTGAAGTGTACTTGTGTTATGTGCTCATTTACTGGAACCAGCTTAGAAAAAAATGTTTAGAGCGTTATTAAAAACGATGTTGTAGGGTACTTTTTGACTTATGATTTTCTTTGCAAATAATTATGTCGATTATGCAAAACATCAACCGCTTAAATGATCTTTTAAATTTACAAACAAATTGAGACTTAAGCTACCGCACCACCTACACCAACAACCGAACCAAGTCACCGTAGTAATAAAGTTGACAATAAATTATGTAGCTAGAAACAAGAGACAATGAGGGTTCATCCAACATTCTGAAAGACAGAGCCTGGACAATACAATAATTGTCATTTTAGCCAGAACAAATTTTTTCTTTTCCTGCTATTTCTGAAATATGAGAATGAAGTAATACTCTCTTCAAACTTGGCCTTTTTCTTTGAATAAAAACTACACAATTACGCGCTTGTAATGCATTTATTGACCGCAATAAAACTGACTTATTCAAAGGCAAAGGAGTCATTGTCCGTACTGGACGGAAGAAATGATTCTCGTAGTATTGACAAACCCTTACTATACCAGTAACGACAAATGACAATGCTCTTTCACCGTAACAATTTCTGACTTATGCAATTCAAATGTTATAGCATTATAATACTTTCTTTGGTTACGCAACATGACTGAATATATATATATATATATATATATATATATATATATATATATATATATATATATATATATATATATATATATAGTTATATATATATAGAAATATATATATATATATATATATATATATATATATATATATATATATATATATATATATATATATATATATATATAGATATATATATATATATATATATATATATATATATATATGGCTGAGTGGTCTAAAGCGCTCTCAGTTACGGTTCGCTGCCATCTCACCTCTGCGTGAGTTCGAGTCTAAGATTAGGTGAATGTGGATATGTGAGAAAGCTTTTCAGTAGCTTCTTGTGGGTCGGTGGTTGTTTCCGTAGATTTCCCGGTTTCTTCCTCCATCATTAACACTGGCCACCATGTACAGCCTATCGTGTGCTGAAAATCCCCACAACAACAACAATGTATATATGTATGTGTGTATATGTATATGTATATGTATAAGTATATGTATATGTATGTATATATATGTATATATATATATATATATATATATATATATATATATATATATATATATATATATATATATAACACTTTTGAGTAGCCGACTCAAAAGTTCCATTGGTCTCTCTACTTGAATCCCAATGAAAAACCCTTACATGGTACGTTACATAGTCATCTCATGAGGCTTTTGTTGTCGCTTAATTCAGCGGTTCATGTTACTTACACGAAATGTTTCTTGTCTTGTTCCTTGTCTTACTGCACAATCTGTTAACGTATTACTTATATAATTGCACTCACGTTTTAGGACACAATTCTCCGAATTAGTTGTGATAATACCGTTAATATTGAAGTACCGATAATCTCAATCTTCTTCTTCTTCCAGTAATGTGCACGGTTCCTCTGGAACCTACTCTCGCATGGTGTGAACTATGTACGTGTGCTGGGAGATACATGTGCAGCTAAAAATAGGTTTAAAATATCACTGGGCATGAACTATGTGATCCCTATGCCACCCGCTAATCTGAAAGCATCAATGGAGTTGTCGTTGACCAGAGCAGCTAGTAAGGAGTTGGATTTCTGTTGTGAAAAAGAAGTATTTTGCATGGTGAAAGGAACGGGAAATCTGCATATATATTCTCAACTGTGTGTACCAGTAGTAAACCTTGCTGCCTTTCGATGTGCTACTTCAACTCGATGTGTACTCATATCTTGTCTGCAAATGTCTTCCACCAAATCCATGATATCCGTATTCTTTAAAAACATGTGACTTTGATGAATTTTGTCAGTTAAAAAATAAATACTTTTGGTAATAAGTACATTTCTATAAGAAAACATTAAAGGAGAATAATGTTTTATTCAGTAAGAACATGATATCATTCGTAGCTGCAGTATATATCAGGGTCACATGTTATGAAATGATTAACAAAATTCATACAAAACAAAGACCTGTTCTCATGTTTTCAAAGATGCCTGACATAACTTAGAATACATTCGAATGATTAAAACAAGCATAGAAGTTGAGAAAGACCGGATATTTGCACCCATCATGCCTTTCTCCTGTAATAATTGTTGCATTTCACGCAGTTGTTACTAGAAACAATATTTCTGGAAAAAGAGCACTTAAAATATTGTCCTTTTAAAGCATCCTCCTTCACTAAATTTCCTCAGTAACATTATGTTACGTATCGGCTCATTCAAAGTATATATAAAGAAAGGAGCGAAGAGAACAAGCTCTGTACGTTTCAACAAAAATAATTTATTTCCCTAGAAAACACGATGAAAAGTTAATAATATGAAGCAAGACATACGATTTACGAAGAAGATCCAAACATTTGTTTTCAAAGTTGTGAAAAAAATAACTCTTGCGAATCAACAGTTCTAAATTAACGTAGTCTGATCCTCCATTCCGTTTCAAGATGGATGAAGATGACATCAGACAAAGGTTAAACACAAATGTCTAGAATTTTCACTGTTAATCACAATCTATATTGTCTTGCTCCAATTTAGAATTAACTGTAGCAAATGTCTATATCCAATGTCAGTTGTCAGGGAAAATAATTATTATTTTTAAGGGAGATGAAGTACAGCTAACGTCAAAAACAAAAGTTTTTATTCTTCATACGTACGAAATAAAACCTCTTTCCAGCACAAAAGAATACCTTTTACTTAAGGTTTCAGAAACTCTGTAAGATGTTATGTTAATCTCTAAGATATTAAAATATGATTCGACTATGACTAACTATTTTGCAGGTAACTGAGTATTTAAAGCAAACAAATACGTCATCCCATGCACAAACATGACGAAATCATGAAAATTTCGAAATCTAACTACATTGTAGTATAGAATGTCAACAAGCTTTATTATCAATGACCGTGGTCACATCCAATCATTTACATAGCTATTTCCGACTGTTTACGTAAAATGACAAAACCGTCATGCATTAATTGTGCTTACGTGAGTCACATTTACTGTCTAAATAAAGACGATGTTTTTAGTAACAAAAGACAGAACTACGAACATAATCATTATAATAATAATAATAATAATAATAATAATAATAATAATAATAATAATAATAATAATAATAATAATAATAATAATAATAATAATAATAATAAAATAATAATAATAATAATAATAATAATAATAATAATAATAATAATAATAATAATAATAATAATAATAATAATAATAATAGTTTTCAATGATATAAAAATGAAATTAAAATGAAATAGAAAGAATTAAAAGTTTAACACGCATGTAATTTAACTACAGGTTAATAACACTTTCAAAATAGAAACTTCAATTACATCTAGAAATGCATAACCAATATCGTCATTGAAGACTAGTTTTTAAATTGTTCAAACAATAGTGAAATGGTCTCTTGTGTGTGCGTCTACCTGTACGTGCGTATATTCTAAACTATACAACCTCCAAAAAAGATATTACTGTCAGCTTATATAGAAATTTAAGAAATTAATGACACTGTCTGTTTCTTGTAAACGGTAAGAGCTGAATAGGAATCACGTACTATTTTTAATGTAATCAAGTATTCTTTTTTTCCAAAAGAGTCCCTAATTACAATTTATTATAGGCTGATAAATTGTACGCGGCTTACAATTCTTGAGATATTTCAACCGATCTTGGATTCAATATATCATTTAGTGTTTATCTCAAACATTTTAATCTGAACAGAAATTGAAACAGATGCAAAGCGTAGATGGAGCATATGTTTAACCAAATCACATTAAGCCCATTTTGCTATTTCATAGGCATAATTATTTTTGGAGATTAAGACAAATCCGATTTATCTCCAAGGAAAGGCCCACTTCGGATTAGCCATTTCAGTGTGATTTGTAACCTTTGTGAAGTGCCAATTTCCGCCTTATGTCATGGGAACGGAGGCTTCTTCCAGGAATAAATTTGTCAGTGGTCTCAGCACAGTAGCATCAAAACCAATGGCGGATATTCAGGTTTGAAAGGAGAACATACTACTATTGATTTTATTAAAATCACAGAGACTCAATGGTAAAAACTCTTCCACTCCAACCCTTTTCATTTCTAGACATGATCATCTCTGTAAAACACAACAATTCTCTGATTGCAAAATTGCTTATTGTCTCTCATTTCAGCACATCTATGTCCCATGTAGATCGTACTGAGGGACCCTTGTCAGTGTCCCAGACACGATCGAACCACAATTTCAGCTTATTAATGTCACCAAAATATAGACATAATATAGAACATACTAGTCAATTAGTAAGCATTGTGTTCGCTATTTTATAAATTCCTTACAACACAGTTTTACTAGTATTAGAATTGGAAAAACGGAAAAAGTTTTGTCTGTAGTTGTCATTATTTATTTGTTTGGTGAAGGCAAAGGTGAAAAGAGTGATACTACAAGTTATAGACCAATCTCAATATTGAGTTATGTAGGAAGAAAGAAGCACAGCTCTGGTGACCTAGTGGCTAGAGCGTCCGCCTCGGATGCGGGCGGTAGCGGGTTCGACCCCCGATCGAGTCATACAAAAGACTTACAAAAATGGTACTAACAGCAGCCTCGCTAGAGGCTCAGCATTAAGAGACCAGTGTTAGGACCGCACAGCCTTGTGTCAGAATAATGTAACTTGGTGGGACATCATGCAGCATGATGCCAAGTTCTGGACATCACTATAAACAAATTGTCGGATGTTTCGTCCAAAGTCGAGTTTCTGGAAACGAAATCAGATTCCGCGTTATCATAAAGATTTGAATGCAACTTTTACTAATGACGGAAGATAATCATTACATCTACAAAATATATATGACTCTATATCCAAGATATTGGCATCACTTAGTACATTACACGTCAGATCAACCTAGAAGTATGAAGAACATTTTTACGTATTTTATTCCATCGCTTTTTGAGTATGCAGAATATTTCTTGGCTGGCTGCTCTTGAGAAGAATAAGAAAGATTAGTCATTTTTAATTTAAGGCTGCACGAAATGACTAAATGAACCCCGGGTGGCTGAGTGGTCTAAAACGCTAGACTTTACCTATCATCGCCAGTTTCCTGGATTCTTCCTCAACCATTTATACTGTTCGCCATATATAGCCTGGTGACAATATAGGTAACAGTATGCTGTCACCTACACTCTTCGACATTTTCCTGTAAAAGATCATGGAGGATACCTTGCATGGCCACAAGAGCACTGTCAGGATCAGTGGAAAAACAATTATCAACCTTCACTTCGCAGATAATATTGATGGTTAACCAGGAGATGAAAATGAACTGGCTGACTTGGTTGGGCGTCTCGACACAACCTGCAAAGCATACGGTACAAAGATAAGCGCCGAAAAAAACAACACCATAGGCATTAGCACATAAATAGATGTCAGTGGACAGAAGCTGGAAAGAGTCACAAGCTTCAAGTACTTTGGATCAATTACCATAGATGATAGATCCAAACCAGAACTACTTTGACGGATTAACCAGACAACAGCAGCAATAACAAGGTTAAGACCAATATGATAATATACCAACATTGCTTTGGTGCCAAAATAAGGCTGATGTGCTCGATTGTCATATCCATCTTTCTGTATGACTGTGAAACATGGACGCTCAAACCAGATCTACAAAGAAGGATTTAAACCTTCGAAATGAGATGCTACCGCAAGATCTTGGGCATCTCCTACATTGACCATGTAACCAAAGAAGAATTCTACAACATGATCCAACAAGCCATCAGATCGTATGAAGACCACTTGACCACTGTAAAAACAAGCGCAATCTTAAGTGGTACGGTCATGACTCAAGATCATCTGAAATGACCTAAACAATCTTGCGAGGCACAGTGCGAGGGTGCATAAGAAGAGGCAGACAGAAAAAGGGGCGGGAAGACAACATTAAGGAGTGGACAGGCCTGGAATTTGGAGATTTCCAAAGAGAACAGGGAAAGATGGATAGAAAATGGTTGTATAGTCAGCTGTGATGCCCCAACGACTTCTTGGGTTAAGGGATTGATGATGATGATGATGATGATGATGATGAGGAGGAGGAGGAGGAGGAGGAGATCGCGGTGGTGATGATGATGTCGACGACGACGATGATGATAACTAAATACCTATGTAAATGAAAGCTTTTACATGATTCATCTCTCTCTCTCTCTCTCTATCTATCTATCTATCTATCTATCTATCTATCTATCTATCTATCTATCTATCTATCTATCTATCTATCTATCTCTCTCTCTCTCTCTCTCTCTCTCTCTCTCTCTCTCTATATATATATATATATATATATATATATATATATATATATATATATATATATATATATATATATAGGGAAAGACTGCCTAAATTGGATAAAATATTGCCTAGCCCCACCTACTTTTTTATATGGCAATAAGATATGCTGAAATTAAATTATGGAGAAAACCTTGTATGTCAAAACGTTTGTAAACATTGTTTATGTTAAATTACCTTCTAGTTCAATCTGTTATTGATCCATGACTTCAGTCAATCACCTCCCATTCATTCATCTTTTTATTACTTTTTCTGTCAATGATATATTTTTATGCATAGACAATTACTGAGATAAATCGGCGTAGCAATGTGCCAAAGGAATCTCAATGATTTGTCAAAAAGTTTTCCCTGAATATTTTCGTGGACAGACTCGTTGACATTCATGACTGTCAGCTAATTTCAATGAAAAAAAAACAGGTAAATTTTCTTTAGAAATGTTTTAAAAAACAGAACAAAATCGACAGCTCTATCTATCATCACCGCTAACTAAAAGGACCTACATTCTGTAAATGTTCTGCACACTAAAAGTAGGTTAAAGCCAAAACAGTTCTTAGCGAAACATTGTGAAAATTCACTAGATATGCAATCAGTTCTTTGAGTGCATTTCATAACAGCTGGGTGTATTAAAACGTTTTCCTGCATTATAAAAACTATAACTTTTTCTAGAATTGACAAAGTATTAGCCATTAGTATTGTGCAATTCGTATACATTTTTGACAAGAGGCAATTTATTGAGATCTTAAACAGCGTAGCAACTCAGATGTGTTTACACGAATAGCGCTCTGTTCCGGATGTGCATTAAACAGACGCACGAACTTTTTTCGACTAGGAAAAACATTACGTTAATTAAAGCATTGTGGACGAAGTACCACTATAGCAAGTCTTAGGAATATTTTATCTCGAAGAAAAGCTCTGATGATTCGAAAGAATATCTATAAAGTTTAGGCAATATAGCTGCAGAAATATTAAAACGTTTCTTCTCCTTCAATTGTTACCCATGATCTTAACAGTACTCTTGAAGTTTTATTTTATAAATATCTTTGATCCAAATAAAATTTAAAACTTTTCCACCCCAATTATTTTTCTTACATAACATTTCAAACTAAAGTTCAAGTCTCTTTTCCAAGAATGTTTCCAGAGCACTGTTGTATTTCCATAGAAGAAATCATTTGAATAATTCCACATTTTGTACTGTACACAACTATAACTTGATTCTGCTCAGATGTTAAAGCACGAATTCATAATCTTTCCAGTGACAAGATTATATAGCCCTCTACCTGACTTGGGTTGCAATTTGTATTTTCTAAAAGAAAAATGTTACCTAATGGAAAATAGCCTTCTAGAATCTTCATGAAAGGTTAGTTATAATTAGAAATTACATTACTACATCTATAATATATAACCTGGTCTTGGTCAAGTAGGCCAGGTAAATTGTATGGGGAATTGCAATACCCTAGACCAAAACCCAAATAAACATATTTACTTCTATTAATAATCATCCTGATATTAAACCGACAAATACAGAGTATATTTAAGCAATGTATTAGTTGTCTACATAATTTTTAAAAAAATAATTAAGGTCAAGTGGTAAAAAACATGATTTTGGACAAGGTTAATTTCAACTTACCATGGTACATCACTATATCATATAATAAAATAAAAACAAAATTTAAACAAAACCTAAACAACAATGCAAATTAAATAATATAATACGGTATATTTGCTCAAATTGTATAAATTTTAAAGAAGACATTTAAAAATTATCCATTTTTTCATATTTTTCTTCCTCTTTGCGGCAAAATGAGGGAATCGTGCAGAGAATACAATGCAGCATTTCATCAAAAGCAGAGCACATCCAACTCCTCGTTAAACCACATTTAATTTGTTATGTTGTAAACAGATCAAAATTATTTGTATATTATATTAGTATATTTGTATTATTGTAAAATTATTTGTATTTGTATTATTTGATCAAATTAAATGTATTTCAAAATTTTCCACAGTCGTGTCAAATTTAACTCCATGGCAATCTATGAGGACGGTTTAAATTTTTATTTAGCAAAGATATATTATACACGTTGCATGCAGAGTTCACTTCGATGGCGTACATAAAGTTCAGTTAAGCGTTAAATGACAAACATGTGTAAGTGATGTCATTTGCAAAATAGACTAGGGTTTCAAGAAAACGCAGTTTATTCACGCGGAAGTTAACTGACCTAATTAAAAGAAAAAATATGGATATTTTGTCACTCAAGCTGGTTCTGCCAATTGTGGTTATGATGGTTTCAAAGTATACAGTTCTTAACGTGTAATAATATGTCTGAGTTAGCTATGATATACTTAAAACAAATCTGAAAAGAAGTGCTCATTCAAGAGAATTGGATTTGGCTTTGTTATTTAACTTGTTTAGATTTGGCAAAACCTTATTAATACTACTTATTGCCTTCTTAGATAAACCTTCATTACTACTATCTCCTACATATTAGACAAACCTTCATTAATACTACCACCTGCGACATTAGATAAAATTTCATTATTACTACCTCTTGCTATATTGTTACTACCTCCTGCCACATTAGACAAACCTTCATTACTACTACCTCTTGTCATATTAGACAAACCTTCATTCCTACTACCTCCTGCATATTAGACAAACCTTCATTACTACTACCTCCTGCCATATTAGACAAATCTTCATCACTACTACCTCTTGCCATATTAGATAAAACTTTATTACTACTTCATTTTGCCATATTAGATAAACCTTCATTTATACTACCTCTTGCAATGTTACTACTACCTCTTGCCATAATAAACAAACATTAATTTCTACTACCTCCTGCCATATTAGACAAGCCTACATTAATACTACCTCTTGCCATATTACAAACCTTCATATCTACTACCTTCTGCCATATTAAATGAAACTTCATTTCTATTACTTCCTGCCACATTAGATAAAACATCATTACTACTACCTCTTGCTGTATTACTATTTCTCCTGCCATATTAAACATACCTTCATTTTTACTACCTCCTTCCATATTAGAAAAATCTTCATTAATACTAACTCATGTCATATTAAACAAAACTTCGTTACTACTACCTCTTGCAAAATTACTACTACCTCTTGCCATATTAGACAGACATACATTTCTACTACCTCCTGTCATATTTGACAAACCTTCATTACTACTACCTCTTGTCATATTAGATAAAACTTCATTACTGCTGC